CCCCCCCCCCCCCCCCCCCCCCCCCCGGCAAAGCAGTAGAAAAGCCTCTCTTAAGACTTACTGGTGGTATGAGCTTCAACCTAAAGCTGTGGTGTTGGCTTTGGGGTTTTGGCTTTCCTCTTTGGCTTTGCCTTCTCGGTGCTGCAATGCAGCCAAGAGCTCTGCCACAGTGGAATGCCTTCCGCAGGTGGAAAGTTTCTGCACTCTGTCTTCTGGCAATCCCTACATCTAGGCCAGTGAGTGGAGCTGAATTAGAGTAATGGAGCGAATAGAGATCTGTGACTAGGGAAAGATTTGCTTTTCAAAATACATGTTCTAATCTGAATGCATCCATGTTGAACTTGTTGGTAAAACCAATGATACAGAGTATTAAACTGGGCTCTTTTACTGTATAGATATATTGATGTGCTTTGGTTGGGACTCTAACCGAAGCTCTTGCATTTTTTAAAGCATGATCTCTTTAGCTATGAGGCTTTGAAAGGTCCCTCGAGTGATTACAAGCAATGGTATGGGATGTTATGATAAAGCTTTTAGGCTTTTGGAACAAAGCTAACACTAACAGTTATGAAAACAAAGACTCAGTGTACAGCTACTGTGAAAAAGGCAAATTCCATACTGGAGATTGTTAGGAAAGGAATAGAAGATACAAATGCTAATATATTAATGCCTTTCTAAAAATCTATGGCACAGCCAGTCTTGGAATGGTGTGTACAGTTCTGAACCTTATACTTGGAGCTAGTGCAAAGCCAGGATGCTCTGGGATGGTGAAACATTGGGGAATTGTCATGGTTTGCTTTCTCACATCTTTCCAGAGGCCTACATGCTATCATCCAGTGGTAATCCTCCCACGCTTTCCCAGGGCTGGCTGCGGTTGTTTTTTAGTTTTTTGGAAGCTCCAACTTTTTTTTCAATGGATAGAAGAGTAAGGCAAACAGTGCCGATTCCATTGGAGTTACAATGTGGTCTTTTTCAACAGGCATGGTTTTGAGGGTACTATCTTCTCAGTGCCTTTTTAGGTAGGTAAACCTAATAAAACCCGCACACTTCAATGTTACCTTTGCAGAAGGTGCATCATGATTGCCTGTTCATTTGTTTTATAATGCAATGCAATGAGGCTGCCATAAGCCTCAGAACTCGGAACGAAGCACAGCTTCTGGGGCCTTCCTCTGGGTGCCAACACCTTGAGAGGCTTGGAGGGTGGCAACTGGGGCAGAGCCTTTTCAGTGGTGGCCCCCCACCTTTGGAATAACCTCCCTGCTGTGGCCCACCTGGTGCCAAATTTGCGCTCATTCAGGGGCCTGACACAATTAGCCAGATGCCTTTTATTTTTGTCTGGGCCTTTTAAATTGCCTTTTAAAGGTTTTTTACTGTTTTTATGCAATTTTAAATTAATTTTAACTCTTGTTAGTTGTTTTTATCTATCACATTTTATTGTTTTATACCTTTTGTAAACCTCCCAGAGCGCTTCACCTATGGGTAGTATAGAAATGTAGTAGTAGCAGTAGTAGTAGTAGTAATAATCCTGTTTAGAACAGGAGAAGGAATGGGTGCTTGCTTTTCCAAACCTAGGCTATTTATTCTGCAAAACTGCAGGATGCAGAGATACTTGGTAACACCCCACCAATTAAAACTACAGAAGAAACTACAGAAGAGTAGTAATTAAGGGTACCAGGTGGACAGAAGATTGCATGTTGTACGTACAAAACTGTTCATGCTGTTGAAAAAGTGGATAGGGAAAAGTTTTCTCCTGTACCACTAGAAACTGGAGTCAGGGCAAAAAGCTGAATGGTGAGTGAGTCTGGATGGGTAAAAGGAAATGCTTCTCCACACAGCTTATTTTTCAACTATGGAATTTTCTACCACAGGGTATAGTAATACAGCTTCTGTGCTGTCTGAAGAGCCTGCTGCTGCCTAATCTTGGAAGCTAAGCAGGGTCAGGCATGGTTGAAATCCGGATGGGTGACTTAAAATGTGAATCACCCTGAGAGCTTTGGCTATGGGCAGTACAGAAATGTAATTAGTAATAATAGTAGGAGCAGTAATGACCACCAATTTGGGCAACTTTAAAAGGGGATTCTATCAATTCATGGAGGACAAGGCGTCTGTATCAGGGGCAGTCTATTTCTCGGTGCTGGTTGCTGGGGTCACATGCAGAAGGGTGCTGTTGCGCGCTTGCTGTATTTGTGGACTTCCTGAGTGGGACTACTGTGGGAACAGACTGCTACGCTGAATAGGTCTTTGGTTTGCTCCAGGATGGCTCTTTGCATGTTTTTATCCAACAATATCTACAGTACACTTCACTGTGTTAAAGGAGTTGGCTTAAATTTATCTATTTTTGGCCAGATAGGAAAATTAAAACAGAAGTGCTAAAATACAGTTAAAACTGGGCTATCCTTGCTCATCTGATCCAATTGTACAAGGAATCAGTCACTGATCTTTTCCTTCTTTCTGAGGGATCCTCTTCTTCAAGATAAACAAAAACAGGGACATATTGACCAACAGCTGTAAATAACCAAAAGATGAGACCCCGAATCTTCTGTATAAGAATCCTCCTATTGTTGGGCCTAGTGTCCGTGTAAGTGGTGTAATGGAAGCACTTATTCCCAGCATTGCACCTAGGTGGAAAAGGTGGAAAAAAGCAATGTTAGCATCAAAATTAATTTTAGGGCCTATTCCAAGATTAATGCAGTCAATAAATCTGTCATTAGCACTGCTAACATCAAGGGACTTGCACCCCAAGGCTAAAGACTGTAGAGCTGGTGCAAACTCACACGCCATTCTGGTACAGAAACTGGAATGCTCCCATCCCCAGAACTTTTCTTACACAGCAAGTTTACTGTTGCTGTTATTATAATTATGTTAATGTTTGCAAGCAATAAACTAAGAAAAAGAAAATAAAGAAAACAAAACCAATTATGCACGTTGCATACAGGACCCTGTGTGTGTGGGGTACAAAGGCTTTACCCCTTTGCTGCAACCTGCCCCCCCCCCCCCCCCAGTCCCCACCCCTGAAGTGACAAGCCCTCAGCATGCACTTGAGCATAAGGAAGAAAGGCACAGCTCCTAGCCATGCCCTCAAGGCCCCTTGTAGTCCGGGTCTCCCTCTGCCTAAGGGGTCGGTCTGGCCTCGTCTGACATAGGGACAGAATCTGTGGAGGGAGCAGATGGAGAAGATGTTCTGGCCAAGCCATAAGCTTCACCTGACCTGAGCATTTCCCTCAATGATGGGCAGCACCTTGCCAAAAGAGTGCCTTAATTTATGTTTCTTAAGACATCTGGAAAACATGGATTTTCTCTGTATATCTCTGGGAACTTCAGGTAACATATAGCTCCGCCCACAACCAGAAATGGGTGCTTCAGCATTTTAAGAGTTGAATTACACTGGGAGTCACTTGCACTGCATTAATTGCTAAAATGGGTGGCATAAATGCAGTCTAAGCTCTTTAAAGTTTTCTCTCCAGTGGCTCTTCCTGTCCTTATTGCCCTACTTTGGAGTCCCACCTCTCCTGACTTTCCAGTATTATTCACATCTTATTTCCACAACTGGGAGCCCACGACTTCCCTCCACTAGACCATACAAGCTGTACTCTTACGTTCAAGGCTGCGACATGCTTCAGTTCGGCCCCCAGTCATCCCTGGTTAAATATAGCACAGATTCCAGGCATGTCTCTGCCAGGAGCCCCCAGTCCTCTTCCTCCACATGCCTCTGTGATTGTTTGGCATACACAGCACTTCTTGAACGGCTCTCCCTCACACAAGGCTGATTCCAGATTTTAGTGAGCCCTGTGGCAAGACCCCGCCAATGGGCCCCTCGTTCAGTGAGCCTCTGAACGAGGACTCTGCAGAGGGTCTGTTCAGTGGGGCCCTGCTAGGTGGTGGGCCCTTTGCTAGTGCCTGATCATGCCAGTCCTTGATGCACGCATATACATGTGTGTGCATGCACACAAACACACAACATGCACAGAGCTGTGTGTTCCTTTTGCACAGTCTTTGCTCCTGGGCCACATTCCCAGGATTTCACTGCTCTTGGGCAGACACTGACAGGCCTTCTGAACGGTGGGTGACCTAATGATCTATGCAAATCTGGCTTGGGATGCGGCCACTGAACTGGCTTTCCTCTGCCGCTGAGGCTGGCCTCTGGGCCCAGGAAGCAGGCAGAGCCACTCCGTTTCCCTCACAAGAGCCCTTTCAAGAAGGCTGGCCCGGCTCCAGCAGCTGCTTTCAACCCCTCCCTCTCAGTTTCTGCATTTTGAGATCAGCCACAGATTCAGAACTGAGAGAGTCATGCATATCCAGACTATAACTCCTACTGGACAAGCAGCTCCAAACTTCATTTTAGTTGTGGATTTAAAATGAGATTCAAGCAAAGAGAACACAGGAATTTCCTTAGAACACAGGAATATCCTGGAATATACCCATGAGCAAAAAGGCAAAATTATTTACACCCCACTTTTCATTCAAGGACCTCAGAAAGGGGTACATGACTTTCCCCCATTTTCATTACAACAATCCTGTGAGGTATGTGACCTAGTGGCCTGAGTCTGCTCAGTCAGCTGTATGGGGATTTGAACCCAAGACTCCCCAGTCCTGGGATGATGCCCTCCCTTACTGAAAATGTTTTGACGGAAGCTTTGCTTCCAGTGGGGTGCATACACATTGGTTTTATCCTATCGTTGCCTCTAGTCAAATGAGATTTTACAGGCTTTTGGCACAGTATAAAAGCCCACAAAAGCTCCTTTACAGAGGTGAAATCAGAATGAGTGTACGTACCACAAATAGTGACCCCTTTGCCAAGTCACTTTCAACATGCAAGAATACCACTGTGTTGTGAGCTGAGTTCTCCTGGCCAGCAGTTAGTCTCACCAGCGCTTCTTGCCAAATGTCTTTATTTTTCATGTAAGTCTCTCAGCATATTCAAAGGGAGATGTTGAACCTTCTTTGGTCCTCTTCACCCAAAGCTTGCTTATGCATCCTTCTGCGCTGTCCCTGCAGGCAGGAGCCCTGTAGAACTGGGCATGCCTTCGCTCCTTCCTCTGAGATCCCAATTCAGCCACCCTATGACTGGACTATCAGGGCCACCTCCTCAGGAGGTCGGAGCTCCCATCCAATAGACTCCCCTTCTCTAAATCTCCTTCTGCAAGATGTTGTTGCTCTTCCTCATTCCCATGGGCAGGCTGACTGGGGCCCATGGCTGAACTAATCTCCCCCACAGCAGGCACAGGCAGGTTCCCAGGGCCTCGGACTGCAGCTGGAGCTGGGCCCGTTCCAACAATCCTCTTGCTAGCAGAGCCTGAGCGATCAAAGCCCGACCTATCAGTGCCATCAAAACGGTCGGCCTCTTGTGCGTGCCCCCAAACGTGCATGCACAACACATTGTTTCTCCCCTGCCTAAGTGAAGAGATGATTCGAATGGGCAGACCCATGTGCCCCCGAAGCTGCCAGCAAGCACGGAGGAATCGCTCACGTGCACCAGCTCTGGATGCTTCAAAGGAGCGAAGCGTTACAGCAGGACTAGGGGACTTCCAGCCCCTGGGACAGGTATGACCCACCGGGGCTTCTCCATCTGGCCCTCCAGTTCTGATTCAAGCACCACCTACCTCCTCTCCCTGTCCTCTGCACCCTCTCTCCAAGCAGAGAAAAGCAGCTGATTGGAGAGAAAAGCTTTTCCTTGATCATCAGTGCTGAGAAATGGAGCTGAGAAATATGCACTCCTCAGCTTGGACCAGCCTGGACAGCGTTAGGGCCTCTGTGAGGACCTCTGGTACAAAGCTGCACAGTTGTGAGAAAAGGGCATGTGGCCTCATGCGCGCAGCTGCTGCAATCATGCATGTTCACCTGGTGGTAGACACACTTGGTAGCTCCAAGATGTGGAGGTGCAGGGTCACATCTGGAGCCCTTATGCATGTGTGCTGCTCCCTGAGAGCCTGGGTGGGGGGATCTCAAGACGCTGATGGGGCCGTACGTCATGTATGCCTGCACCATTCACAGAAATATTAATCACCGGAAACACTGCAAGGTTCTACATCTTCCTTTTCAGCCAACTTGTTCCATAGTGTGAGTCACTGCCTGGCTTGCAGTTATCCTTGCAATACCGACTCTAATGAGCTTTCACCAGCTTGGCAGTTCTGCAACTCCGGGATAGGTTCCCCTTTGTTCCAAGACAAATTATGTGAGATGTGCAGAAACTTTGGACTTGGCATTCTTCCTGCAGAGCTCTAAGGGTTGGATGGTGACAAAAGAGTTCCTTGGCAGAGCCCAGCGATCTTCACAGTTGCCAGCTCACCACTCTTTCCAAGCAGTGAACCAGAACCAAGTGGCGCATCTGGCAGGTTTTGTAAGAAAAGGGGAAGAGGAAGAAAGAAGTTCAGAGCAGGAGCAGGTCTTACCAGTGTCAGAAGCTGGAACGGACTTTGTCAGGAGGATGTCGGTGATGACACCAACAATACTGAAGGAGAGCACCATAAAAGGCACAATGAGGCAGTAATGGAAGACGCTGCTCATCAAGACCTGGAAGGTGGGGGAAAAGCCATCAAGATGTTTAGGATATCAGCAAGAAAATATTCCGAAGTGTATGTATGGATGCAGGCAGGAGGGATCTGTATTCAGGAATACTGTCTTGCTAGCTTCCACAAAGCAAAATGCAGCAAGACAGATCCTTCACATTCACAGATGTGACAATAGGAGCTAATCCAGAGGAGCTGCCCTGCTCTACCCTGATTGCAAAAATTGCACAAGCGGAAGAGAAGCAACAGGGAGAACTACAGAAGGTTGTCCTGGTGATGGAGGTTTATTAAAGCAAGAGGCATCATCCAGGTTCCATAACTCTGGAACAAAGAGCCCTTAACTTTATTAAGTAGTTTAATAAAGATGTTGTTAGGTGGTTTATTATTAGGCTTTTTTTTACAATGGGCAAGCATATTCTAATAAGCGTCAGAGGCATCTATAAATCAGTATAGGCTTTTTGATATTTGAAAGGAGAGCAGCTGTTTCTTCTTGGTCCTAGTATGCTCTTATACAATTTGATTTTTGATTTTCTGGACTTGACACAGAGGAACCTTATTCATTGACAAATTGCTTCTTGAATCCCCACCATAATCAGCAGTGGCCAGGGAAGTGACCTCTTGGACAAACTTCTGGGGGCTGCTGCACAGCCATTGAACGGAGAGGAAAAAATCTGGTCATATTTTTAAGCACTGCATGACAGTGGTGACTGCAAGCTGGTACACAACTCTCGTGCATGCAGATTGATGATGTCAGCACAGGTGTGACTTCCAGAATGCAACTGCACACTTGTACGGTGCAGGCTGTAGTGTCTGTGGCCTCTACCACCACCTTCTGTGGCTTTCCCCCCACCTTTTAATTTTTTTTAAACAGAACATAAATACAATTGAAGTACAAATACATATTCTTCAAAATGTATCAGTAATATTAGCATCTAAATTAACAATAAACACTGTGCACTTGCTCCCCCGGAGACCAGTTGACACTTCCATTTCACTTCATATATTGTAACAATTAACAGTATATAATGTACTTTAATTACACCAATATCCCCTCCAAAAATTAAAAAAATCTTGATTAGGCTTACAGCCATTCTCTTCCATCAGTACATCACACAATCTTCCCATATTCATCATATTTATTTACTTTTATTATCCCTTTTTTATTTCTGTTGTCAATTTATCATTAGCAACCATATTCCATATTTCATTATACCATTCATTCATTTGTATAACCCAATTCAGTTTCCAATATTTAACCACTACTAACCTGGCTGCCATTATCAAATTTAGAATCAATTCTTTCTTAGCTTCATTTATATCCTGATTTTCAATCAACAACAATAATGCAACTCTTGGTGACATTTCTAAATTTATGCCTAGAATTTCTCTAATTTCATTAAACACCATAGCCCATATATTTTGTATATTATCACAGTCCCATCACATAAGTTTACAAATTCCAATCTCTTTTTCACATCTCCAACAGATATTAGAATATTCATCATCAATTTGGTTTAACTTAACTGGTGTTAATACCATCTCCATATCATTTTATATCCATGTTCTTTAATTCTAACCAATATATTCTTATATACTCTTCTATTACAAATATTCTTCCAATCCTAATCTTTTATTTCACCTACATCCATGTCCCAAATTGATTTTAAACTTTTTGTCTGATCCCCTAATTCTATTAATATTTTATAAATTTTACCAATTCTTCCTTTACCTGTATATTCTTCCTTAAACTCACATTCTTTTACAATCATTTCAAATTTTGTTAATTATCTTTCTCTTTGAATTTTTCCTCCATCTTTATCCATTTTTTAATTGAATTAAATTTAATGAATTCAATTTGGCTTCTGCCAATATGCTCCTTAATTGTGTTATATTTTTATCTTATTTTCCAGTCTTTCCATTTATATATTTGATTATTTTTAGTTTATTAATCCAATCCTTTGATTCTATTTTTGGGAATTTCTCCATTTTGACCACTGATGTTAATGGAGAAATTCCTGGCATTAATTGCTGTCTCCATTTTCCCCATACTTCCATCATATTTTTAAAAAAGGGATTTTGAATTCTCTTTACAATCTTTTTATATCCTTTTAAAACCAGTATGTCTCTAAATGATCACCTATTTCCCTTGATTCTTTTAATTCAATATCACTCCATATTAGTTCTTTGCTTTGGGCTATAATCTCTGGGCCGATCTTTAACTGGTTTGCAACCCAATACTTTTTAACATCTGGAATATCCAGCCCTCTTTTTTTTGTGATTCATACCATAGTACTTTACTCACTCTTGCTCTCTTCCCTGCATTACAATGTACCTCCAGTAACCCTGGGGCTTAAAACTATAGGTAGAAATGTGTCTCAACTCTTAAGCTGTCTGGGGTGGCTGACAGAGCCTTCACCTAATTGAATCACTGGCTGCCACCAATCATTAAGATCGTCACAAGTTGCAGAAGAGCTCTGAAACATCACTTACTATTTTGTGGTCTTCACATGGACTTGTGCTACTCTTTGGATTGCACCTGTTCTGCAGCAGACCAATATGGCTGCTTCCCTGCATTTTTAAAGTCTTATTTTAGGATCTCTGCAGTGTGACCACAGTCATTGAACATTGCTGAGATCAATGCAGGAGGCTGCATCAGACCTATTCCCTGTCCCCACCTGGAAAACATCTCAACTGCTTTTTCTCTAGAATAAATGACCCAAGGAAGGCTGCACCAAGCTGAGAATTTGCAAATGTCCCTTTTTCAGAGTAGCATCATACTGCTGCAGAGCAAAACTGTACGATGATCTCTCTCTCTCTCATTCTCTCTCTCTCATTCTCTCTGACACACACACACACACACTCAAACACACACACACACACACCGGGGGGGGGGGGGGGGAGAGACAGAGAGCTTCCTAAGGCTTCTTTTGGTTTTTAAAGCATTGTGGGAAAAAGACTATGTGTCCCATCACATTTGAGCTTCACAAAAACAGGTTAACAGCACAGAAAGCTGTAATGCCCTGTTCAAGGGGTCATGGTTTACCCAAGATAGCCTGTAGTATATATACTAGCAATATAGGAACACAGATAATTAAACCAAAACTTTGCTTATGACATTC